TTCTGCAGAACCAGGTGGTGAAGTAGTGCATTATTAAGTTAGACTAAAACCCACTTTGACTCCAAAGACCAACTCATTTCCAGCTTAATTCTGATGGATGTTTGCATGAAATGATTTGCTGTACTATCTCAGTTCTTATCCCTGAACTGGAAACTGTTGTGACCAAAAAACTGGTCACAACAAACACTTCATTGGTTTTTCTTCCCTAATGATAAGTTCTGCTCCATTATTTATAGACTGAGCCAACCTTTCTCCCTTCAAGACTTTATTCTGTATGCTGTATGAAAATGTATCTGACTGTGGCAAGGATTTAATCAGCAAAGCACCTTGGCACTAAAGATTTGATTAATAGTTGTTAATTCTTACTTGTTATCTTGTTAGTACTTTGTCAATTTCTGCTAGGTTTTATGAAAACTTCCAAAATTAAAATGTTCGGTTTGAAGCCTGTAAGCATTTGTTTGTGAACTGTCTCAGTGAAGACACAGTAGGTGAGTTAGCAGTCAGAAAATTCCCTTTATAAATTTCACTGCTCTTCACTAGAAAGTGACCATCTAAAACCTCCCAGAAACCACTTTATTTTTACTTCTTCTATAGCAGAATTTCTGTGGCAGACACTAGATCTTGACAGCTAAGTAGCAGGGAATAAAACGAAATAAAAACAGAAGTAAAAGGTACTACTGCAGCACAGACATGCTAATTCATAGTCTATGTAATTCAAAGCTGTAAGCCTAAAATCAGGACAGTTTTGATACTGAATTTTGGTGCAGCAAGAGGCTGCAAGAAGCCAGCCTGTTTGTCTTGCAAAGTGAGATGTACTTCTAAAACATACCTGAGATTTTTACCTTAATTCAGAATGTCTATCTCAGTTGACCTGAGTTTGGCCACGTGTATGGTTTTGTGCATTTAAGTTGAACTAAATCTTGTAATTACAAGATAATGGCTGAAGCAATACACACTTCAAAGGGTGCACCACAGTTGCATCAGTGACTTGAATAATAGTGAGGATATTTGGATTTTTGCACTGCCATGCTTTCTCTGAAGCAAACAAAAATACCTTTCCTCCACTACTTGGCCATTACCAGTTAAAACTGATTTGCCTAAGTACTGCTGCAGCCTCCAGTTCAAGAATGACATTGGCCAGCTAAGAGCTAATCCTATTAGCCATTTTTTACAGACTCAAATAGGAGTGTGCTGAAATACTTTTGTGTCCAAACAAGTACAATGAAATTGTTTTAAAGATGTACCAAATGCAAGTTAAAATGGTGACCTAGGTCCAGCTGTACCAACTTCTGTGATATTTAAATGAGTAAAGAGAACTTGGTCAAAAATAGTTTATTTACAATTTAAATGCACATTGTTCTACTTCAACAGTAAAACTACTGGGGAGAGTAATGGACAGGTCAAGGCATTTCATATGCTCAAAACACTTGTGAAGAAAGTCACTTGACACTTCAGAACAAATGAAGTAGAAAGCAGTAGGACAGGGCACCTTTTCCCAGGACTTCCACTTGCCATCAGGGTAGACACATCAATCTTCTTGTGAAACCTGACTTACTAGTCATGACCAGAAGGGCTGCTGCCAACAGTACCCCCATATCTGTGTATTTGTTACAGGTGCAAACTCTTAGGCATACAGCTTTGGGAAAACAACAATAAATAAAAGGTCCCTTTAAAATCTCAACACATGTAATGAGTGGAAAATTCTATTTAAAAGCCTAGAGCATCCTGTGCTTGGAAAAAAAATTTGTGTTGTCAAGAGGCCACAGTCACACCCATCTGTTTAAAATCCACCAGCTGAAGTTGGCTGCTTGGATAGTACATTCTCCTACAGCAGCAGCTGTTCACCTTTTGTACACATTTAATCTCCAAAACCAGGTTGTTAGTCAGAACCCAAATCTTCAATCTCATCATATCCAAATTCCTGCAGAACCTCCTGTCGATATTTATCCCATGTTCTTCTCCTGTAACATTGGTCCTCATCACTGAAGCTCTCTTCAGAGTCTGTAGAGAAAGCATCAACACTTCTAGATTATCCCTTCTTTTTACTTAGAAAAATCAAGTTAACCAGACTAGTTTAAGCTTCTTGAGAAACTAACAAAGTCTGAACAACTTCTGTACTAGCTGAGGTTTGAATTGTGCTTGAAGTCTGGGGTAGGGATTTCAGAAGGCAGAGGCACTGTTTCACAAGCATGTGGACCCAAGTCATGGATTCCTTCTCTAAGCAAGCAAACCTCTGCAATTGCAGTAGCCTCAATTTGACTTCCCAATTTTGTCTTTTCAAGATCACTAATTTCTCTTCTAGTTCCAAGAAAGAAAATCCTCCTCTATGCAGATTTCACCATTATAAGAGTAGAATACTACCCCAGCAGTGCTCAGTTCAGTTGCTTTTTTAGGGATAGCATGTAAAAAAGGGGATGTATACACACACAGCAGGAAAGCAAATGGCATTTATGACAGGTGTACCTTTTTCTCCATCTTCCTCAGGTAAGAAATCATCTTCTTCAGGATAATCATTACGCCAATTACTTTCATCATTTTCATCGTCTTCATCTTCATATACTTCCTCTGGACCAGGATCATCATTTACCTGCATGCCAACACAAAACATAATGCTAAATGTCTGTATTTGTAGTGAATGTTAAGTGGGTTTCCATCCACCTGTGCAATACTGTACAGATCAGAAAGAGCCAGGAAATACTTATTGATGGCTGGCAGAAGGAATTCTGCAGTGACACAGGGCACACTGTAGAAGAATTTGAGTTGTCACTGCATTCACCATAATGCTTCAAATCTGTTTTAGGTGAAAAATCATTGAAGTCACTCCTGTACATATTCCACTCCTGCATTTCAATATTAATGTCTAACTTAATCTTACTCACTTCAGCAGAAGTGAAACAGATCAAGGAAGAGAGAAAGTAGTTTCAAGCTCCCAGGATACAAGTTTGTTGATCACAGGAACTATACAACACAAGACTACACCTTACATTAAACTTCCTTTTCCACAGTCGCTGAAGAACAGTTTATTATGAAAAATATCTCATATGAAGATTAAAGTCAAGTCCCCAAATACTGAAAAAGTTGTGTGTCCCCCCTGCTTGCTCTTCAGTCATAGTTACAATGACATTTTAATGGCTACCTCCTAATCACAAGCAAGACATAAATTACTCAAGTTTACATTCCTGTGCCAAAATTTAATTGGCAGTTTGAAACCAGACAGATCCTTCTCAGTACATGAGCCCATCCCTTCCATTTTGTCATATGATGTCCTTGGACCTGCAGGAACATGGGACTGGTAGTTAGAAAAGGTCTAACACAGAAGTCACTGAGCATACATGTAGTGTCTGTCTTAAAGCACCTTTCTTGGCATGGCAGCTTTTAATAGGAGGACTTTAAACATCTTTTATTTGTGATCTTTTGAGTTGAGAGAGATTGATTTTCCACACCCTTACCCATTCATATTCTTCTCTATAGGGCTGTACAGAAAGGATATTTTCAATCCAATCAGGGGCTGATGTTTCCTTATAGTAGATGTCATAAACATACTCATCATCTTTGTCACCGTGTTCTTTTTTACCATCTTCAGAAACATTTAAACGCTCACGGATCATCTCTACTGCATTGCAGAGAATTGCATCTGGATCAGTCTTCTGCTGAGAAAAAATAAAAAATGTGTATTTCCACTAAAGTCATGCAAAGTCTTATTTACAGCAAACAGTTTTCAGATTAAAAAAGAGCTTATGCATCAGACCAGGGAAAAGAAAAAATAGGGTGGTACAATCCCTTCCTCAAGCAGCAGCTCAACACACTGTCTGTTTGAACATTAGTGCACTTAGGATCCTCATGAAACATTACAACTTGCAATCTAGTTAAAGCTCCTATTAAATAGAATACTTACAGTGCAAGCAAATTCCCACAGCAATCTGCCCACATGTACCACTCAACAGCGATACCAAAGTACTTCAAGCACACTAAGTTCACAGCTGACCTGTGGGTTTGCAGTGGTTACGCTGGAATCTCCCACCGTCTCCTCTTCTTGTACAATATCAAACAGCTGGAATTTCCCACAGCACTCTGAACCCGTATTGACAGCACCACTCTCCTCTAGTGAAGCATCTTGCTGTGTTTCAGACTCTGACCTGTCCCCGTGGGGCGCAGCCTCGCCGTGCGTGGCAGGCGCAGCCGTGTCAGGACAGTCGGGCCGGTGGCCGGACACCACTCGGTACCGGTTCTCCTTCCTTTTCGCCTGCTTGGCAGAACGGAGCTCCTCAAGGATTCGCTGAGTGCTTCCCAAAGAGGGGTGCAGGCTTTGAGCTGCCTTGTCTCGTGTGATGGCATCTTTAACATACTTCTGAACTGGTTCGTTCTGGGAAAAATGAACAGAAAGGAGGAGGAATATAAAGATAACATCATCATGGCAAGTCATACTCCTTCCTAGAAGGGATGAAGAACTGCAGTACCATTAATCCCAACAACATTCAAGTAACTTCTACTATTAAGCAACTTAACAGTCATAATATTCTCTTGAGAAGAGGAAAGTACAAGATATAGAACAGAAGTCCTAAGACTGTTTCAACTTGATTTTTAAACAACTTTGTGGTACAGAATAGCTCTCCAAACAAAAACACATGCCTTTGGAAGACTGCAACGGACCTAAATTTAGGGTATAATATCCTTTACAATGTCCTGAGCAGACCATTTCCCACGATAGACCAGTCTTATTCAATATAAAAGGCTGGATGTTGGATGGTAGTTGTTATCCTTGTAAGGCTGAGCTTCAGCATCTCACACAGCAGAAATTGAAGCTTCACTTGTTGACTGTTCTGTAGTTTGCAAGTGAAGAACAGTGTCTAAGTGTAGAAAGGCGAGTGCTGAGCACAGCTTGTCTCGGAGCTGTGCTGTGGCCCGTAGCTCTGCTCCTGCCCGGCCCGCGGCCGTCACAGCGCAGGAGGAGCCGCCTGGCCACGGTTACCGGGACAGGAGGCGCTGCCCGGGGCCGGGCCATTCTCCAGACCACCGCATCCACGGGGGAGCCTGAAACACCCGCGAGCAGCAGCCAGAGAGAGCCGCTGCTTTCCGAACCCCTCCAGGATCACCGTCCGGCCTCCTCGCCCCGCCCGGCCTGCCCCGATACCTTGGAGGACACGGTAGCCACCAGCTTGAAGAGGTCGGTCCCCACGGGCTCGGCCCGGCGCCGCTTGCAGGCGAGGAGCAGCGCCTCGGCCGGCTC